AAGTCGCGTTTTAAACCTTACAGCAATGCCGGAAACTCCAACTTGAAGTCCGCCGGGTTTGCAGACGCAAATTATTACCTTGCTAGTAAGACGTCAGTTGCATTCCACAGTCATCGCTATCTGAATGTTATCGACGCTAAGACTGCAATTATCTGCTCGCGCCGAATCTGACAGGCTCATTTATTTGAAGCTATGACCAGTACTATAGGTTTGGTGACACGTGGCTGACCCAATTGTCTGAAAGCATGGGCAGCAAAACTGTGGGTACATTCATTTCACTTGGTTATGCTGTGATGGTGTTTTCTTTTCAAGGATTTATCGATTGATACAAAGGATAGACACTTTCACCCAAGCTTCCTGGTTCGGGATTGTGCCGCTTTTCTGTGGCTTCCGTTCACCTGAGAGGCACAAGCGGAAAAAGGGTGTAGCACTGTTTCTTTAGTTCTCGGTACGAGGAGTTTGAACGACGTTTCCTTCAGGATCTTTATATGGACTTCATCTGGCCTCAAGGCATTTATTTGTTTTTGAAATCAAGGATCCCAAAACAGCCACCGTGAATCCAAGTCATTAAGCTGGTAGACGGAGTTCCGGCTGGGAAAGGTTGGAAAATATCAGGTCGCTGCGCTAGAATACAGGCCTCCATTGTCTGTGCACGCTTCAGATACCACTGTCGGGTCAACCCTGTGTTAATCGTTTGTGTTACTGGAGAGGTCCGCCAGAAGCGTTTCACAGTATTAAGTAACACGTTTGTTTGAGAGGCTTTGTAGCGTATTCTGCCTTGATGCTTCATGATGGATTGTTTATTCGCAGTGGTTTCAGAGATTGCGAAATACCGACTACTCTCCTGAGTCTGTGATGTTTGTTCTTTTAAAGAACTGTTGGGACATCACTACCAGAAGTGGCCGAATAATTTTGCTTAAATTGGATGGCGCTGGTTTCTTTGGGACGACTGCTGGGAATTTTCTGAAAAATGCTCTTGTATGTATCCTCCAATTAAACTCGCCCTATTCAAACCTGGTCAGGGAAAGTACGCATTCCTTGAGAGTCTCCTCGACAAAAGATTGTAATCGACTTTCGATGTGCGATGAAACCAAAGGCCGGCACACATAGGTATTGTGTCCTGGAGAAGCCTTGATGATTGCTCCAATAACATTTCAAGTCCAAACTCTGTGTTCAACGGCGTTGGCGAGTGCCACTGCAAAACGTCCACTTGACCTGACATGACGGTCTCCATCCATGCGACCCAGGAACCGTTACATTCGCTTACCAGCAAGAGATGCATGAGTTTGTCGCTTAAGGAGAGCTGCTTCAGGGGTTGTATGAGCAAAATATAACCCTCCGCTGAAAATTACTGGCAACGGTAGACTGCCTCAAGATAAATATTGTTGGCCTCCCACAGCGGAATTCGAATCCGCAGTGCACCACAAACAGTTACGGGTGGCGTGGGAAAAATGAACCAAATCATACAGGGCTATATACAAGATAGAGCAACCACACCTCTATTCTCTTGTCCTGAGTTATACGCGATATCGGAGCAACCATATATCGGGATGTCCCCGCCAGTGACATTTGTTGTAAGGGCCTGGTTTTTGACGACTCTTGTTGCTGTGACAGGTCCTTCAGATATCTGATCCTTGGAATTGGTCATCTACTTAATTGAGTCATCAAGATGAGCCTTAATCTGAGCATCCCGGACATAAATTTACCAAAACCGAAGTCACACAAGTGAATTATTTGCGTAATCCATCAAACTTTTCGATATTGTGACGCAAAAATATGCTTGAAAATGGGGAAGAGGGAATCAACGTATCGTCGCATCCACCAGATACCACACAGGTCTACGAAAATTCTGTTGAAATTTGTCATAATCAAAGGGGGACACGTGGTTGATCAGATGTGAATTGGAGCTCCACTGCGACATAATGACCACGGTGTGCTGGTCTTTCATTTTACCTGCTACTGAGTCAGAAGCAGGGAACCTCAAGCGTAAATTCACAGCTTTTGTCAGACGGACCACCATAGAATGCATAGCCTCCGTGGCCAATTTAAACTAGGCCCAGCATTGGTGGAGGAAACATACAAGGGCACTATCGAGAAAACTTACGAGGCGGAAGCTGTGTTCGGGTCCCAAAAACCTGCGTGAAGTCATCTGGACTAGAAGTTAACCAGAAGGAATCGGAATCTCCATGGAAAGGGGGCCAGGCAGCACCACAAAAATAAAAATCCAGGGAACAATTGATGTGTAGGCGTTTTCTAAATCGTGGAACCTCTGTAAATCAGCAATCCGGTAATGGATCACAGCAAGAAAAGCTGCGGTAATAGACCCCGCCCGTGAAGGCATAAACGCATAATATAAAGCATGTAACTCTGCCGATGAAATGAACCAAAGGCCTTCTCTCTGGATAGATACGAGGAACCCGAGGGTAACCCAATAGATGTATCCAAAACATGGAAAATACTATGTAGTCCTGTATTATGCCACAGTGACCTCATCAAATCCAAAGCTATCAAGAGGTAGCTACGAGTGGCAACCAAAATCTTTGTCTCCACGGATGAAGATATTCGTCCACCGGTCAATAAAGCGAACAAATTCGGCTCATTGGTGCAAGAAGAGGTCCGCCCAGGGATCCTGAAGCAAACGTCATTCACACTAGCAAGGTATTTATTTCTGGTATTTCGCCAGTCGCTCGAACGAGGTGAATTTCGTTCCTCTTGGGACGGAAAGATTTTAAAGCTGAATTATAAAAATGGAAACCGACTATAACAATAATGTTTATTCCCATCTTGTGGGTTGCATGCATCCAGGCATGATCGTAATATTAGTCAGAATAAAAGCATGACTGCGCGGGGCTTGTAGGTAAGGTGATTTTGAGCAAAGGTAAAACATCAAAGGCGGTGGTCATTACCAAACCTGCACAGTTTCTCTGCTGTTTTGAGAGAACATCTAGCAAGATCGGATTTTGAAGATTTGAAGGTGGTGTGCGAAACCAAGACGAGGGAAGTCAAAACAGGGGGCTTCCCGCCTGAAATGTCACAGGAAATTGTGGACTGCGGAATATGAGGAATCAGGACATCACATCTGATGAAGCAGCAGAGTTGACGTCACCAGCAGGTTAAACGGAACTAAAACCAAAAACCGCCGCTGAAACCTTTGACAGTTAGGCTCGCGACCATGGCCGCAAAAAGCGCAAATGAGGCTGATGAAGTGGAGAGTTGGCAAAGCGGATAAGTGGTAGCAGGAATTTCAGAAACATGGTGTACAGTGAAAATGTGGAGACTCAGCGCTGTCACTGCTATGGAGTCGGGCATAATATTTCCTTGCAAGGGGTGAGAACCAGAACGCGAACTGGCCTGACATACCTCAGTTTATGGATAGCCCCCGTAACGGACGTCGCACTTAAGGTCACTGGGCTGGGATGCACAATTCTCTGAAGGTGGCTAACAGCCCATCAGGTCGTCCACACCTGATATTTCCGAAGCTCGAGGCTTGAAATCTTAGTCTCGTGCCGCTTATTAATTCTGAGGTAAGGTGGTGGGACGTCTTCTGGGGCGGCTCACCTCAAATCAGTAGCAGCAACTCGATGTGCTCCCCCCAAAACCATTCCTGCGTGACGAACAAGCCTGTATTTGTGGACATCTTATCACAAGGTAGGGCTGAGGGACTCATATCGGCCTTCTCATTTGGACTTTTTACATACGTTCGAACGAGTTCACATCTCTCGCTGATCCACGAGTTCGAGTATGCCAAATGAATGGTCCATTCAGAAAACAAATACACGTTTCTCTATTTGAGCGTGTCCAACCAGCTGCCTACCTTAAATCAGTTAATTGAGAAACGTTTCTCGTAGTGCTTGACCGCTTTCCCCTGGAGTCGCTTCCGAGGATATCTCGTGCCTACTACTTGTGCCCTGTTTGAACAGAGCGTGGCGAACAGTACGAGCCCATAGCACACACCTATGCTAGGAGATTTTCTCTCAATTCCAGTTACTGATGCACGGAATAGCCTTCATCCGTCGTCGTTCATGCTGCATCGAGCACCGGGTTTGACGCATTTTCGAAAGCTCGTTTATGCGAGTCATTAAGCTGGCAAGCTTACTGTTTCTTTCTGAGAACTAAAGAAGCAGTACTACACACTTTTCGCCTGTGCCTTTCTGGTCATCGGGGGTCGCTGGTTAAAAAAGCAAACCCGACCCAGTAAACCTGGGAAAAGCCCGTGAACTGGTGTATCTATTCCTGGATCCGTACCTTAACTTCCTTCTCGGTGAGGTCTTTCATCATCTTACTTTTAACATCGTATTTCCGTCTTCTCTCGTGCCAATTCTTTTTAAGCCACTTGGTCCTCGTCTGAAATTTCTGAAGTCCCAATCGTATTCACGGATTTTCACGGATTGATACACAGGATCGAGGCTTTTGCCCAAGTTTCCCGGGTTGGTTTTGTTCTTGTCGGTCAGTGGCTGTCGTTCACCTGAAAGGCACAAGTGAAAAAAGGGTGTAGCACTGCTCTTTATGTTCTCAGCGCGGGGCAGTATGCTCGCCAGCGCGAGGATTCGCATAAATAAATGTCTAATAGTGCTTTAAATTGGGTTCGAGAAGGAGCGTGTACAACCGCCGGAGGAAGGTCATTCCACGCAGCTACTACCCGAAATGAAAAAAAGTTTTGTCTAACGGATGTGTGTGCCCTGAGCTTGAAGATTTTCTTACTATGTCCCCGCCGGGTGTTTGCTGGGTCAACGGTAAAAAACCTGTTTGCCAAGCTTTGTTCAAACAAGGCGTAGGTAAGAATTAGGTCCCCTCGGAGGCGACGGTACTCCAGGAGAAAGAGATCAAGCGTCGCGAGACGCGTTTCGTAGTCCACGGACTTGAGGCCGGCAACCATTCTCGTGGCGCCCCGCTGGACACGCTCAATGAGGGTAACGTCTTTCGTACGTCCTGAGTAGACAACTTAGTTGGCGTACTCCAGGAGCGGTCTGACGTAGGCCCCATAGAGCATTTGGAAGTCCATGCGAGTAATACCGGAGAAGGTACGTCGGATCATCCGTAAAACGGCGAATGCCTTTTGCGCCGATTTCTCATGATGCAGTGCGAAGGACAAGTTTGGTTACGTGGAGACGAGTATAAAGTACCAAAGACCGTTAAAATGAGTAATCAGCTTTCAAACTCCGTTCAGTTACGAATGAAATGTCAGGAATTCCTGAAATATAGTGGTCATTAAATTTTATGAAATATTCAACTTCGTCTTCTTACATGAGGCGTTTTGTTTCCCCATCCCATATCTCTCCGCAGCAATTTTACCTACAGAGTCCTATATGAAGATCAGATCCTCCTGTGACTGCTTGCAGACTCCCTCTTTTCAGCCCTACTTAGTCGGCAGCATACATTGCGCGTGGATTGCTCCTTTGTGGTGTTTGGAAATCTCAGTTGAAGTTCATCTGGGCTGATTCTGTCAGAAGTTGTTTTCAGTTTCGATTTTTTTCATACGGGAAACACTGCTTGGCTTGTACAAGCTTCTTGGGCAGGTCTCCCATTCTCTCCCAACGTGTCGTGAACTGGAGCCTTTGTTTCAATCAATTCGTAAAACCATTTCCTCGGTCAGGTGGATGGTTTGAAGCTTCGGGCGTTAGTGTGTAAGTTATTCAGACTGTCAGTAATTCGAACCAGTAAGTGTTATATGCTTTTTTACATCACTATTAGGATATATTATCGGGTAATCTGGTATGCATTTCCGTTTGAGTTCGCTGACGTAGTTCCCATCGCCTGTCGACAATTTTATACCTTCCAGTCCATTCCTTTATCGAACAGCTGATCATTCATGAAGTCGTTCTCGCGCCTCATTAGCGGAAGCCGCAGACGATGATGAAGTATTTAAAGGTTGAAGATGCGCTCTCATACTTGGACGAAGTGAAGGAGCGGTTTGCTGGTCAAGGCGCAATTTACACCGATTTTCTTGACGTCATGCGGGAGTTCAAAATGCAAACGTATGGTTATTTACTTTTTGTAACTTTTTCGCAGGATCGGTACGGAAGTTGTCATCCGTCGTGTTCGAGAACTTTTTGAAGGCCACACAGACCTGATCGTTGGGTTTAATAACTTCATACCTCAAGCCTATCGGATGGATGCTCCCGTGTCTCGTTGTCCCTCAACAAACATCGGTGTCCGCAACTCTGGAACGCCAGCAATCGAAAATATATCACCCCCAAAGAAGTCAAGCACCAAGTCGGCGGATAATTCGGCGGACTGGGAAGCGTCCGCGTTCTTATCCTCTGTTCCTATACCCCATGATAATCTCAGCCGTCAGAGCGCTTATTCCCCTTCAGTTACGTGCATTTCGTCTGGTCATGACAACCTACCACCCCGATCTAATAACGTGGTCTCTTCTGATCAATCCACTACTGCAACCAGCCAAGTATTGCTCACAACATATAATGAGGGCTTACAAACCCAGTCTTTCCGAAGTGCTTACTCGGTGGCTTGCGGTACTGGCGCACATCCGACTGTCCCAAGCACAAATGTTTACCATCACCAACAGCAACAGCAGGTTCAGTCGTTTAACCACGCGTTGCATTATGTCAACAAAATCAAGGTGAGTTTTCTCTCCGGAGTCAGTGGACTCCCGGACAAAAGTAACATGAATTTACAAGCTTTACACACTTTAGAATCGCTTCCAAGGCGTCCCGAACGCGTACCAGCGGTTTTTGGATATTTTACAATGGTATCAAAGGGAGCAACGACATGCAGACCCGTCCCGCAGGAAGCTTGCTGAGAAACAAGTGTATCAAGATGTCGCGAAGCTATTTGATGGCCAAGAAGACTTGTTACAGGAATTTGGGCAATTTTTACCCGAATCAACCGGTGTGACAAATGCTGTGGTACGTGTTCATTTGTACTTTTTTAATTCGTAGACCGAAAATCTAATTGGAAGGAAACCCACGGGACAGTCACAGTCAAACTCGGAGAATTCACCGGAGAGTGTTCCGCTACCACAAACCATAAGCCGTATATCTGAAGGACTCACCCTGACACTATCCTCCCGGCAGCGACAGGACAGTACTGTCAGCAATGCGACTGCACCGCTGCTGAATGTTGACCTCAAGAAGCTGAAGCGACTGGCCCCTGCTCCACAGGGTACACCCTGTATGAGCAATAATGCATTGAGCACGGCCCCAAAGAAATGTCGTCCGGCGGTTCGGGACGTCAGCGTGACTGACCTCAACCAGCTTGCTGGTGGAGTTGATGTATCGCTACTGCACAAAGTACGTCATGTGTTTATGTATATATTTCGCTTGCAGATACGGTCGGTTCTTTGCACTGATAATGGGAGTGATCGGGCTTACCAAACTTTTCTGCAAGCCTTAAACTTGTTTAACCGGAATGAACTGTCATCGGATGAACTACTGCAATCAGTTCGACCTCTGTTCCCACGCCATCCTGACGTTTGGAGACGCCTCTGCGATACGGTTTCAGTAAGCCCCACTACTAAGTGGTTACTATAACTGTCGTGAGTACTGGAAGCGCCTCGGCATGAGACCAGTGTCCAACACTGATGCTTCGCTGCCGTACAGCCATGATCTGTTTGAAAGCCTTATTGTGAAAAAAAGAATAAAGGTAGAAAGGGAAGGGACCTAGTGCTACCTTATTACAATCATTCCGAGGTGGCCACACCTCTAGACACTCAATCAAAGAATCTGGATAAAAACTTGCAACATGAACGCCATTGACATTGATCAGCAGCCATATTTCGCAGTGTCTCCAAACAGACGTAGTGGGTATCATGTGGTCCCTATCCTGGAAGACGAGTACCACCGACTGCACCCAAACGTTTCGTAATCTCCTTCATACCACTCTGCCAAGTCAGGGTTTGGCCACCTCCGTGTTTCCGGCACTGTGAGTTGGACATGTGTTGCATATATGTTTGCCGAAGAGAGTACGGTATATGCAACACACGTCCCAATCAACGCAACTTCTGGTGCTGTACGGATTTTTCAGTGGGGGTACCTGTTGCACACCCGAAAACTCGCTTTATAATAGCCTCGTTGCGGATTCTCCGACACCAACCCACATCAGCTATGGTTGGGAGACAACGATTATCGGACACCTGAAGACATCTCAGTTCCTCTGATCGAACAGGCCAAGTCTCATCAATAAAACAAAACCGCCCATACTGCAGTTTGATACAAGTTCCTTGGGATTCAAGGATCTATCACTTTGACGCCGTAGGCGTCTCAAATTATCAAACGGGACCCGAGTCTTGAAGATTCGTGCAGTGACTTCATCTGTCATACTACAGTCAGAGTCAGTACAACTTCAAAGGTACGTAAACCGCTCCAGAACTTCGAGTGCCTCACCCTAGATTGTAAATAGTGACTGCATGTTCAGGAGCATGAACTTACAGTTTATGGGTATCAAATGCACACCAGAGGACGGGATGAAATAGGGCAGTTTGTCCAGAAAACCTGCGCCTTCTCTTCGAAGACGACAATGATGTCTACGTATTCCAAATCGACAAGTTAGTTGCTAGAGGCTATTTGAACACCAGCGTTCGCCTCGGTAATCTCATCGATCACGAAATTGAATGGGAATGTAGGGAGCAAGCATCCCTGACAGACCGCTTTGTGTGGGGAAGCTTTTCGAGAGCTCTCTGTCATCATCATCATCACCGACAGCATGACAGCCGGAAGTCTGAGAAGTCTAAGTGATATTGTTCATAAACCTCCGGAGAGTTCCTTGATGGGCAAACATGTCAAGGAAGACAGACCGGTCAACCGAGTTGAATGTGCCTTGGAGATCCAGGACCACTTAAATTGTGGGTTGTTTTTACAGATGGGGCTTTAGCACCTGGCGGAGTGTTACCTATATCAAGCCAGAATACCGCTTGCTGCACCCAAATCAGTCTCAATAACCACGATAATGTGACGAAGCATCGGTAACGCCAACATTCACGTTACGAGCGGGGTCAAGCTGACCCTCCATTCACCAAGAGCCCCTTCTTTGATAATGGGCACTATCACCGACTCTCGCCACTTGCCCGGGGCAGTTTCGTTTTCGTACAGGCAAGCAAATCAGACAAGCGCTGGCTGATGACTTCATCTCCATTTTTTGAACGACGTGAGTGTGTCGTCATCCGGATCAGACGCTTGGTGATGTTTGAGTCATAAACTTCTAAGGCCGTAGGGGGTCCACGTTAACCGTCCACGATTTCACGTCAACTATAGACACTAGATGACTGGTGGCCACGATAACTGCTTTTGGAGTATTCGGCCCAATGGTGGAGGCGTTCTGCTTAACTCCAAATGATCACTCCCTACTAATCTTTAATGGTATTACTCACAGGTGGTTTCCGCAGGCCGGCAGTGCGGGTCAACTGAAATGATTCTCATGCATTCCCGGCCTTCTGGACCCCTTCATTTCCTTGGCTTTCTGTTTCCACCGGACTTCACGGTCAGGTCGGACGCTCACTTTCACTTGACGTCTGGTAATTCGTCACGTCCATTTATATTCAGGATTGACTGGGGTATTTCTCAGAGATTTAAACAGTGCCAGTGTTCGCTCTGATATCGAGTGTTTGGGTGTGCTTGGTAGCGCTTTGTCATGGGCAAAACTCCCAGCACGGTGCAAAGAGGTTGGAATCTCGTCCCAGTATCAATACTTATCTGATCACGGAGCATTCTGAAGAGGCTAAAAGACTGTTCCGGTATGTTCATTCAACAACAGGACTCACTAACCATTCAAGCAATCGCTACTCGACACTGCCAATTTGGGTAAGCCTTGACAGATGCCGTTTCTGAACTTGTGCGCCAACCTGAAGGATGTAGTATCCTACGTAGGGCAGTTAATAACACCAAGTAGCAGGGGGAACTAATGCGACTTGTTTTCTGCGTGAACTGTATGCTGTTAGTTTGTATTCCGATCATCTTATTAGGTGTTGGAGGTACTGGCTTTCGGATTCCTTAGTTTTCCACTTTCCGGGGAAGGATGTTTTAGTGGCCAAGGTGCCTCAGTGGTTAGAGCGCAAATTTACTGTATTCCGATCATTAGGTGTTGGAGGTACTGGCTTTCGGATTCCTTAGTTTTCCACTTTCCGGGGAAGGATGTTTTAGTGGCCAAGGTGCCGTGCCTGTTAGAGCGCAAATTTACTGACAGGAAGCTCCTTGGTTCGAACTCGACTTCTGCCTCTCGACTTCTCTTAGGCTTGGACAACCTGGCAGT